TGTATAAAAGTCCTTTATGCCAAACTTTATCGAACGCCTTTGCAAAATCAAGAAATACAGCTGTTGTAAATTTATTAGAATCTAAATTTTCTCCTATTTCATGCACCAAATCGACCAACTGATTTGTTGTAGAATCACCCTGAATAAAACCTGATTGTAAGGGTGTTAGGAGGTCATGCTTTTTTAGATGTTCATATAGCTTATTATAAACCAATCTTTCCAGAATTTTAGACATAGAGGGTGAGTACGTTTGTTATTTAATTCATGAAATAAAATTGTTGATTTATAAAAGAAAACGTACTTGTCTTTTTTACTGATACAACTCCAGAATTAACTCCAAAAAAATGCCTGATTTTCTTTCCAACTCCACAAATTTTCGATTTTGCAAACTCAACTCCAACTCCAACTCCACAAATTTTCGATTTTGGAACTCCATCTCCAACTCCAACTCCATGGAGTTGGAGTTGGAGTTTGGAGTCCAATGCAGTTCACTAACCTTCGGTCCTTACTAACTGCCTTTGACTTTGACTAGTTGATTTTAAGTTATCGGAATATGGACGAACATTTTGTGCGAAGATTTTCGCGGAGTAGGTTATATTCAGAAGGATAAAAAAGAATATGATATTATAAATCCTCCTCCTAGTCTTTCAAGACATCAAAACTTACGTTTGCCGCCACCACCATCTCCCACGCAACTTCATGTGCGCTAGCAAGTTCACAAAGTTCTGAGAGCTTCTGTTTGGCTCTATATCGTTGTTGTCTTCAAGATCCTCGGCGACGGCTACTGCTGTTGTTTTTCGTCGTTGTGATCTGGTCATTTATTTCTATAGATTCCATTTTATAGACAATAAAGATAAATTTATCTAGAACATGTCAACATGAATTAATATTTTAAGAGAACAATCATATCGAATTGCAACTATGATTAGTTCCCTTAGATCTCGCAAGTAACCACCGCTTTATCACCAGTGTCTTTCGTTAGCCGTCAGTCAACCATTCAACATTGACTGCCGTTGCCCATCCGACACTGAAAACGAGGAGGTGAAACGTTGGATTTTGTCGGACAAAAATAATAGGTTATATACTTACGTAAGAAGGCGAATGGCTTCATTGTTATCACAATGAGACATACACACATCTTTTTTCAACAATCACATATGATGATACACAAACTGAAAAGAAAAACATCATTAGCTGTATATATCACACTAGTATAGCCATTACTTTGCCACTTAACTTGTTGCTCTGCGAAACATATTATCAAGAACTTATCATGTTATCAGAAAACATGTGTACGAAAAGATCATGAAAGACCCCTGAGAAAAATGTGAATCCATCTAAAATGTCCGTCTATTGAAACATAGACGACGCTCGATATTTTTAGTTTCTCTATTTTTGTTACTTTTTATTTGTACCAAAATAAGACAATCCAACTAATAATTCTTAAATTCTTAAACTTTTTCCTCTTTTGTTCGCGTAAACTATAGCTCGTATATATTTTCTAGGACTTTTACGACAGAGGACATTTTTTTTGGGACTTTTTTTCGAGGACATTTTTCCCAGGACCTTTTCGCATAGAAACATTTTTATCATGAGACATTTTTCCGATAACATTTTACCTCGAACATTTATCTGAGTACATTTTAGAAAGCACATTTATTCAGGGACTAATATGACGTAATTCCACAAGAATTCGTCAAGTTTAAGTCTTTATGACGACTTTGTGTTGAAGTATTTCTGATCTTTTGTGAGAGAGGTATGATTAAATAGAGTTTTTCAGACTAAAGACGAGCACACAATGCTGTTTCCTTTAGAAAATGTTAAAAAGAAAGTGACTAAAATTCTATTGAACTGTTTTATTTGCAATTGTTTTAGATTAGTTTTTTGTGATTAAATCGTCAAGAATGGCAATGGGAGGTAAAAAAATGTTTAAAAATGAACAATCAGTTACAACAGACGAGTTAGAAAAGAAGGAGAAAAATAGTAGGTTGATTTACACAAGGAATCGCAACTGGTTTTTAATAGGTTGGCATTTCTCGATTCTAGGTTTAGGTGCTTCGGCAGCAGGAGCATTGGATCAAATGGGAACAAACTATGAAGGTGACATGGTTGGTGGACCGATAAGATCATGCAGAAAGTCAAACAGAGATTCCCCATATGATGCAAGCCATCGAACAGTACAACTTCGAATCAATGAATAATTTATTGAGAATGTAGGTAATGCGATCGATCAACCCTGTCCATATGTAAAGTTTACCGATTTATTTACATTCCAACAAACTACACCGGAAAAAAAGAAATGTATTGAATTAAACGCATCATTATATGTATTGAAAGAGAGTGTTTTACAAAATTTAAGATCGTTGTTTCCAAATGAATGGCCAGTTAATGCTCTGGAAAGAATTTCAAGATTATTTCAAAATTCTGCTCTCAATACACACTAAAAAATAATGTGTCGCATGTGTCGCAAATTGCGACACAATCATCTGCGACAACGGGAGCCACTTGCGACACATTTTTTCCATTGAGGCTGCGACACATTTCCATGCGACACATTCCGCTGGGTATTTCTACCATAGAGAAAGCGGTAGAAATTAAGTATTTTCGGTCTCTTCTTCGATTTTAAGAATATTTTTAGTTCGTTTTGGGATGCTCTGCGTAATGTCAACCAGCTTAATCCGCCGGTAATATTCAAAGGCCTTCAAAATATTTAGTTTCCGAGGTCTGGGATTAATGGCGTAGTCAAGATCTCTGATTGGTTCTTTTTCATTAGAGAAAAAATGTTTAACGTAGAAAATAGTTAAAAAAGACCAAGAGAGGGATCTTTATCCACTAAAAACACCAATTCGAAATTGAAAACACTTGAAAAGTTCGAAAATTTTCTTATCTTTTACGTATTAGCGCCACCTATAGCACATCAAAATTGAAAAGAAGCCGAGAAAAATACTAATGAAGACTGCTGAAAATAGTAAAACATAACATAATAAATAAAAACATAATAAATTTGAAACAACAGATAATAACATTATTTCTGATCTGATTGTACACACATTGCCAATTAAACGGTCATCGTTAACAAATGAAATATTGAATGAGCTAGGCATAACAACGGACAAATTAGACATGATATAAGATATTTTGAAAACAAATCAAATCATGAGTATAATGGAGTTAAAAAAAATTATAATGCAGTTAAAAAAAACAATCACTCGAACCGAACTGAAGGAAAAAATTGATATGATTGCTATTGAATTTATACAGGCAGCTAATAATTTAAATTTACGCGGTTTTTGTGAACGTAAAGTAGTTTACATAAACGCAGCATTTTCTTGCTAGATATAAAATACAACATGACAATCGATTACAGTCATTGTTAGTATTAGATCTGTTTAGTGTAATGCACAAATTTATGCACACAACGTTAAGATTAATATTATATGAATATTAGTACACCAGTGGATTTTCGTGAAGCAGGATTATCTGAATCTGGGGTAGAAATAGAATATCAGTTATTTGGTTTTTGTTCAGATTGGTTGGCTAGTTATGAAATGAAAGCTCTTGCTGGCAGTGATATACACATAATATTGACACCGTTATGCGACAATCAATCGATCAAACTACCCATTGACTGTAAAAACTATGTTAGAAGATCAACAAAAATGGTGTTAGATATAACATCTCTTACATTCAATAAACCATTTGAAATTTAACAAGTGATTTTAATCATTTGTATGTAAAACATTGACGTGTTAACAATTATATTTTCTGTCAGATTTTTAGGATGTGCTTTTTGTTATCTTATGAAATCTAAAATTTTTAAGTTAGAAGCACTTGTAGTATGCTGTTGTAGAAAACCTTCATGTTAAACTAATCATTTTGTTTGGTTAATTAATTGAGAACCATCAGAGAAGGATTTGTCTTGCAACATTTGATATATACTTAATGATATCCCTCTCCCCTCTTTTTTCACCTTGTTGCCGAATGCAGAACACACGTCCGATTGAGCTCAAATTTAAAGCAGAAAAAATTTTACTCCTGAGATAAGGGCTGAAAAGTATCTGTGGTAAAAACTTAGGCTTAAACGGCCCATTTTTTGGCGGGGTCGTAATGTGACAACTCAAAATGGAAAAAAAATGAAAGTTTTTTGCAAAAAGAGGGAGAGCAGGTACCCTTAAAGCATAACGTGTCATATAGGCTGTATTGCTCTGATCGAAGAAGAAAAAAGGCCTTAGTTGTTCTATGCTTCAATAGGCAATATCTATGCCTCTAGCAGCAATTGTGAAATGAAAAAGAATGAGAATCAATCTTTTTCATTTCGTGATCCTATGTGTCATCCTTGTGCTTATAGAATGAGAAAAAGAAGACAACGAGTTGAACAAGACGAGTGAATAGACATCTAGCGTATCGCATCTTTTATTTTGATCTATTTAGTCATCGAAATAGCAAAAATTCATTGTTCTATACGGTTGTCCACGTCTGAAGCATGTAGTCGAAGGATGAAAGCAGAAAAATTCTTAGCCTTACCCAGGGAGAAATTTTTTGAATAAAACCCCGCGGCTTTTGCTGGTTTAAATACACCGCGGGAGTCAGGTCGTTTATTAGGTTTTTACACACCGGCCGAAATCAAGCGGTTTTTTTTATTTATTTTATTATGGAATGAGGGGATTCACATATTTTTTTGTCATGTATATAATGAACCTATGTAGTATGTTGGTGCTCATATCGTTCAATAGCGCAATAGCAGCAAAGAAACAGAAGATTTTTCTTTGTTGTTTGTTATATTTGTTATTTGCGCAGAGAATCAACTATTTGCATCCACAGCCCAGCATACAAGTATGATAGCTTGGACGGCTCAGTAGATTTACGTTGGGCATACGTTTCGTAAGACTGAAGCTTGGTATCTTCGTACTAAAGGCGAGCTTGTGAAAAGAACGTCTAGGTGTCTGTATTTTGTAAAATAACAAATTTTGTAAATTTTGTAAATAAAATAACAAATGAATTTAGTTTAAATTCCAAATGTATTTTGTAGCAGTTTTATACTCAACTTTTACTTATTTATTCTCTAGTGCTATTTCAACAAGTTTTTTATCTTACAAAAGAGCAACTTTTGTGACCGCCGACTCGCTACCGAAGGAACCTTTTCAGGTTATACAAACCGTTTTGAATGGGACTTATTTTTCTAGATATTTACATATTTTAGATATTGAGACTTCAACAGACCTTCACTCAGATGAAATATCCAAGCCTCAATATCTCAAGGCCGGAAAATTCATCAGACTAAATCTGTTTCCGTCGTGCTACTATAGCCATGGGCTACTAGTGTGACAAGTTTCGAGTCAAAATTCGAAAGTCGAATTTTGCTCGAGATCCGAGCTCTATAGGCAAAAACTGACTAAAAATTCAATATCTCAGCAACAAAGCACCATGGACAGAACCAACTTGAGGTATTTCATAACTCACTAGGACCTATATAGAAAAATACGTCCCATTCAAAAAGCTTTTTATCATCTGAAAAGATTAAGATTTGTAACAGCTGATGTTGCTGTAAGCTGAATTTCGTAAGAACTGATGAATTTGTTTTGAAAAAATATGGGTCTATACCTTACTCCACATGCTTTAAAAGATAGGCATAGTGAGATCTGCGCGGCTAAATATTGCGTAGAAATGGGCAGAGCTGTACGGAAACATCCATATACATATTCAAGTTAATATATCATAGAGAAACAAATATATTGTAAATTACGTTGAAAATCTAGTTCATTTTGAAAATATTACGTTAGCTCAGCCACTGATTGTGTAAATGGTGCCATTGTTCAAAAATAGAAAACACCGTCAAAAACAGTCGTAATCACCTGGGTTATCTAAATATAATAAGCGCATACTTTTCGTTTATATAAAATATCTTGCACTTACAACAAGAATATCACTGACATTATTCGTAATTTTTATTCCAAAATACATTCCTAATCCACGTGAGAAATATATATCCAAATAGACTGTACCCAATAAACAGGCGAACACAAATCCTTTTCTTCTATTGGCTTTTTTGGCTATATCTAAATGTTGTTCATATATAAATAAATTGAATCTAACTATTCAAGAGGGTTCTGTTTGCCAGTGTCTATAGTATGCCTATGTAGCTCATATTTTGATCCATTACAAGAGAAAACTGTTCGAGTTGAACTGAGTGCTTCTTGCGCAATGTAACCCGCTTTTGAATAAGATTCTAATTCTTTAATAACCATTTTTGCAGTTAACTATATTAACAAAAACAAAAGGCGTTAAATTTCATTTTATAGGTATCTTTGATGTTTTTTACTTTGAAAAATATAATTGATGCGCTAGTAAATATTGGAAACAAGCTAAGCGAAACTGATGTTATTTTTCAATTTATTATTAGTGAAATAAAACAGCTAAATATGGCAGTCGAATCAATTTGAATAATAAATGATAATTTATACCCGATACCATCATTGATTTTATCGATTGATCTACGCATTTGTACATACATACTCACATATTAAATACATTCCATTTTAGTTATGGACTACTCGAACAAATACGTCGATAATTCATTAGTTTTGTGTGTATCAAAATAGTGCATATTCTATAAAGACGAAACAGGTTCACCGCCATCAGTATCATACCATATTACATCACTTACTTTATTCAATGTCGTTTGAAATACTTTAATACGTATACGATTCGTTTGACGTTTAGCCAATATGTCAAAACATAAGTGTTGTAAATAAGACAACAGAAATGACACTAGACCAACATCTATAAATATAAGTATATAATCTTTGCGCGATTGTTAGTTAGTGACATGTAGGTCTATTCACTAATTAATATGAATAGTTTTTGATAAACTTGATTATGAAAGTTGCTGAATGTTTTCAACGTAGCTGATGGTAGACTGATATTGCAATATCTGTTTAACAATACTGAATATACACTACACAAATGTGTATATATGAAGTGTTTTACTTGTAGTAATTGTTGAAATTATATTGATTTAATTCAATACCATATGGACAAACTTGATTCAATTCAATTAAATTTAAATCACACAACGGTGACGATGTTTGATAAACATATTGTGCAAATACACCCGCTAAACGTCCAAATAGGACTAGGTATATAGTCCAAACTCATAAAAATGCTATGAATTTATAGAGTTGTAATGCAATGGAAATTTTTATCTGATTATAAAAGATTATGAATTCATCATAAAAGTTTCATCTATTTTTTCCAAAGGAGTGATGTATTCATCTGAAAACTGCTGCATTGTTATTCCGAGATGTTAGCTAGTCTATTTCTCTTCAACCTTCATCTACATTCCTTTTTCTTATGCTGTAATCAAAAGCCACAAAAAAGTGACGTCATCGTGCGGAAAAAATTTTGCTCAGTGTCGCTTAGAAAAAGATGGGTGTGATATTTTTTCTTTCCTTTATGCTAATTAAGTCCTCCCTATTCAAAACATATTCAAGATCTCAATGGTATCTCTGACCAAACAGAGTTCTACCAGTCACAACTACAATAGAAGAAAAGAAAAGTCTGAGGGTCCGTGTCATATCTTCCATGGAGTACTCTGCTATCGGTTTTAGATAAACATATCACTTAGCTATCTAAAATAGTGTTTTTGTAACAATGACTCAACCACATACAATTGCTTATAACCAATTTATGGAATGGTACATCAAACTGAATCCAGAATATTTTCCCTTACATTCCCTTTGACAATTTCCTCCGCAAACAGCGCGCTACGTTTTCATATGCTGTACAACAGGATATCGACCGACGAGTTTGTCAAAAATGTCTATACTGTTTATACTTTCCTTCTATTGCTGCCCTGAATCGATATAAAAAGATTCACATTGATGAATTTTCTAAGCAACAACAATTAAGTGCTGATCGCGCCTGTGGCAACTGTAGTCAGTTAAGGGCCCCCCTCCTCAGAAATGACGATTCTCGGATTTTGAGATAAGCACATACAAAGATAGTCTGAAGTGTCTACTTTTAGAATACATATGATTCGACACCGTATTAATGGTTTTTGAGACGGTTTTCAGAGGTTTTCTGCAGATCCCCTGTACAAAAACTTAGTATTTTATTTCGAACTGACGCACTGATGCTATAAAAGTGATTTTTGTACAAAACGAATGCCTAATGATGCTGATTAGGATAAATAATTAGGATAAATGGCTAATTTCAAAGCATAAACGGCTCTGCCATTTATTAACCTGTACGATAAATGACATAGCCATTTATTACTCTCCAGCATAAACGGCTCTTTCTCTTTCATAATTGTTCTAT